TATTCTCCTTTAAGCCAAGATGCTGTGTGAAGTTTTCAATGATTACCACTCTTTTATAGAGATCTTTTCAATGTTGTAGCAACTGTATACTCTTTTTCTGAAAGTGTCCTGGATACTTGATTTTTTTCTCACAATATTTCAGATTCATTAATTTAATACCATCTTCTTTGCCATTAAGAAATTTGAGTTGCCATTCTGTGACCACTGCAGACCTGCCTGCAGCTGCTTTTGGACTTTGGCAACACCCAGTTGCTGCTCATAGGCCTGAGTGATGCTCTGACTTGCCTGAGCCTGTGTCTTGTTCTGCAACATTTAAGTTGTGCTTGTATTGTGCAGCTCATTGCCCCACTTTACTTCCCCTGAATTCCCTTCCCTATTGCCCTTGCTGGCTCAGAGTGGCAGAGCTGAAGTCATTGAGACTGCCTAAGGAAGGAACTGGTCACATCTGCCTTTCCTGTTGAGCTTTTTCCCTTTTACAGCTTTAGTAGACCTATTAACACATTTAAGAAAGCTGGGGAGTTGTTTTCTCTTACAGGGCACTTGGTGTTGAGATGTTTCCTAACACCCCCTCCAGGCAGGCAGAATAATTGTGAAAGCATGCCTGGGTCTTATAAGGGGTTTTTGCCTGTTTGAGCATCCCAGGTCGAAGTCCCCATTAAGGTAGACAGGGAACGGAGATGTCAGATCTTTCAGAAACAATTTTGAAGACTATGGGTGAAACTGGAAAGCAAATAATAAACTAATGAGCACATATTAATGCAGACATGCCCTGCACCCAGGTGAGAGGAGTTAACATACAAGCAGTGTGAGCTTCCAGGAAGGACTCCTCAGAGGCTCTATGTGGGGGCTGAAGAGATTTGGGAATCTGAAGACATTCTGAGAGCATGAGCAGAGAAAAGTGCAGATCATTGTCTCCACTGAGGGCTGGAGGGACTGAGAGCTCTTTCAAAGAAAGTGGGCTGGGATGAAAGCAGAGTTTGGTGTCGCGTACACAAAACAGGACAGTGGTTTGCAGAAAGCTGTTCATGCGATTCTGGATATAGACACACCAGCCAGCTCCCTAAGGAGTACATGGAGTGAAAGGGGTAGCAAGCGGGATTATCCATCAAAGAGGGAAATGAATGGTCTTATCCTCTGTCTTGCTCTACAGACACTTCACTTCTCCAGTACCTCATGTACCCTGCCTTTCATGAGCCCCCACCTCCTTCACGGCTGTGTGGAAGGATCATGCAAACAGACAAGGTATGGCTGAAGGGAAAACAACAAATGAGCTGGGATTCACATCCAGGAGAGAGGAAATTCACCCTCCTATATTTCTATGTCATATCTTAGTTTTACACCTACTTCTCATGGGTTTGTTTCCTACTGAATGTTAACTCTTTCCCAGCTGCAGCTGCCTTTAGCAGATCTCTCTCAGATGCCCACATTGCTCAGCCAAGTGCATATTTGATCCTGGCAACATCCAGGCCAGCACTTTCATGATAAGTTGCTCACTATCTTTACCCATATCTCTGTGATGGGAACTGAGATTACAGAGTTGAGGGGAGAGAAGACAGTGGCAACATAATGGAAACGACAGAAATCCCACAGTCTTTCCTGATACATCTTGACAACATGTTGGGATTGTAGCTCTTCTTCCAGCTCTGGCTGCCTGTGGAAGATACGCCAGCAATAAGAAAGTAGTTCTGAATTTTTGACTGTCTGTCCTGTGTCCTGAGATCTTGCTAAAGGAGAGGCCTCATAATCCACTTTCTCTTCGCAGTGTAGAGTATTGCAGCTTTGTGTGGGAACATTTATTTCTCTGCCTTGGTTGTTGGAGGCTTATTGGCTGTTTGCCAAGTGAGCTGACGGGTTAAGTTACATGCCATTGTCTCATCTAATACACAGGGGTTTCTGATCGAAAAAGACTATTGAGGACTAACCCTGTTAAACATGTGAGACAGTAGGAGCTGTCTGGCTTGACTCATGGGTTTGACAGAGGAGTTAGTAAATTTACCTGAGGATATTCTGAAACATCATGAGACTGGTAGTAGCTAAATATAAGGCAAGTGAGTTGGTGCCACCCTGGGAAGCAGAACTCATGGGAGGTGTGGTACAGAGATAGCAGAGCCTGCTGCAAAGAGGCAGACGGGCTCTCCCACTGACTACTCGCAAGGTGTTCCACAGTTGTAGAGCTGTGGCTGGAGCTAAAACCCAGTACCTATAGGACATAGGGAAGCAAGAAAAAATTATAAGATAAAAGAATTAATAAGACAAGGAGTTGAAAGCTCAGATATTCAAAGGATCGCAGAGTGCCTGGGATTTTCCGTCTTTGAACCCGGAAAGATTCATACCTGAACTCAATATACATAAAACCAGCCAAAAAATACTTTTGCTGATCTCCTTTTGAGTGTGTATTGATTTGACTAGCTACCTTATAGCAACAATGTTGTAATACACACAGGCCCAGATGTTTTCTGATAATAAAACTGTAGCTTGCTAAAGCTTTCAGAGGGAAGATACTGAGTCTTCTCCAGGAAGAGAATGGTGTGTCCTGCAAAAGATGTGGCTTAGTGCAACTGGAGAGAATTAACCAGCTGGAGTATTTGCTGCACAGAACAAGCCAGTCTCAGCACCAGATAGCAGTCTCCAAAGCCAGTTCCCGTATTAAGCTTTTGTTTGTCACGGAATAGAAGTTAAAAAATCAACTAAGTGCCTTGAGCATCATGTGACATCTGTTTTCAGCAAGCAACCAGAGGGTGGGGAGGCTCCCAAGTTAGCAATCGCATGAAAATTAAAATATTCAATGGCAGCACCCACAGAATCTCCGTCTCCCTGTAGAAACTGGTTTTGCTGCTACAAGCACATTCATGTTGAGATCATTATATACTCAGCAGTTTATGATTCCTTGCACTTCGGAGGATATGCCATGTCTGTTTTGAAGGTGGATGGCAGAGAATGTGAACACTGATGTTATATACAGGTAATTTAAAATACTATTACACATTTATTTTAAGCTAGAACACCAGTAGATTTTATATACACCATCTTACACCAGAATCACTCTACCTAGCCCTTCTGGATTTAGAAGAAGCAATATTACAGACATAGAAGATAAAATGACATTCTTCTGTATGATAGAAATACATATTTTAGGACAACTTATTCAGAAGTAGTCATATATATGGTCTTTTCTTTCAGATCTCTCCAGATCTTGTTATTTGAATAACAGTCCCCAAGTCTTTTTTTTTCTGGGTACAACCATGTTTCAAAGGTGTTTTCAACCTATGGTTCCAGGCATCATTGTTCTTCCAGCTGCATTCTGCCTGACCACTTCCAAACAACTTGTTTGGAACTGAGCTGTGCTTTTTTGTTGGTACAAGGACCCAGAAGAAATTACTTATGCATCTAGAGGATTTAGCGACCTTAAAACACTAATTTGAGACAAACCTGTAACACTGTTCCACTGGAGATGTGTGAGGCCTTTGACAACAGAAATTTTTTACTTTTTTTCATATGGGAATGTAAAACTACCACCATTAGATTTAACTCTTAGCACTTTGCAAGGAATGCAGTAGCCATCAAACAGAGAAGGGAGTCAGAGAATGATCGCTGATAGCACCCAGGTGCTTCACAAGGAAGCTGCAGCAAAGTCTATTATTATCTCTTGCGTTACCTTTAAGGTTTTGCCTGGAGGCCAGGGCTGATATCAGGACTCCAACCTGCCAGGGAATTTACAACTACTTGCTAAATCACCTTCCCTGCCCTGGAGACTTTCTATTCTAAAAAGTCCCTCTTCTATAAATGGAAAGGTGACACATAAACCAAATCCAGAGTTAGATATTGCAGCAGGTTGCCTGATGTCTTGCAGATTATCCATGACAGAATCAGAAGTGTCATCTGGGAATGCTATGAGTTTCAGCCCTATGTCTTTCTTAGCCAACCTCCATTATAGGCCAGAAAGACATGGACTAGTGTGACTGAAGTCTTCAAGTCACCCTAGTTTGTGGAGGCACTTGTGGTTATGAAAAACACCCCACATTGCAGGTACAATGGATATGCAAAATCCCACTCATTTCAGTTCCCATAAAAATGAATATTCTACCAAACATCATGTTTTCAACAGAGATTAGACTGCTCTGTGTTTCCTTTTTTTTAGTCTTCTACTGAGTAGAAAAACTCTCATGGAAAATAATACAGTTTATTTCATCTGTGTGAGAAAGGGCAGGATGTTTTGCTGGTTATTTCATCATGTGTGAAAAACAAAATGTTGCCAAAACCTACATTGAACATACTTCCTTAAGAAAAGCAGGTTAAATTACATTAAGCCTTAAGGGGTTTTAGTCACCGTAGAAAAGTCAGTCTATGGTTTCTACTGTACTAGCAGGTTGGAGTGCCCATACTTGCCCAGAACACCACTTCTCTATTATAGCACCTTTTGAATTTTGCTTTGCATACTGGTCTTTAATTACAAAATGGTTGTTTTCTTTTTTCTTTTTTTTTTCTTTTCTATATGTGAGATTTTTTGAAAACTCATCTAAAATCCTTTCAGACAATATTTTATCTTTCTGTCTACATATATCAAAACTGTAGCCAAAATTCCTTAAGTTTTATGAAAAATCTGTATATGAAAGGAACAGATAGTGCTGAACTGGAAAAAAGCAGAGGATTTATAACATCTCAATTAGTTCTTATATCTTTACATTTCTGGGACATCAAACATGAAATGGCACTTACAACAGAAAGGTAGGCAACTGAAGGTGACCCATGTTTGGCACTTAAGTTGTTTAAAATTTTTATCAGCTCTCTGAATGCCTATTTTAGAGATGTAACCTCCCATCTTCAGTGTGGTGTACTCAGTAAGTTTACTTACAAAAAAAGAACAATGCTTTCCTCTGCACTCATTTGTATGCATCATCCCCATGATTTTATGGCAGATTTTCATGAAACACGTACCTGAAAAAAATGTTGTTAGAATCAGCCTTTAATTCCTCAATGTATTTTACTTTTTCTTTTTTTAGGATTTTCCAGGGTGAAAAAGGCTCTAAAGAGACAAATACAAGTAAGTCATCAGCAGTGAAATGTGCCAGTTGCAAGTCTTATTATTTGAGTGCTGACAGGTCATTTCCCCTTTGCCTCTTGCATAGAGTGTAATATTATCATCAGTCAGCAGAAGGGCAGGGAAATCACACACCAGGCAGGGAAAGCTTCTTCTTTCCTTTCCCAGGGAAGTCTATGACAGGAAACAAAGGAAGAAATTATAAACTATGATCAAATAAGATAGAATCACCCACTCAGGATTTTTGTTTTCCTTTCGCTGCATGTTGAGAACAAAAAGCTCAATGTTTAGCTGCTCCAACCTCGAGAAATCCAAGTCAGTTCTCTGAGCACTGAGGCTTTAACGTTGACTAAAAGCAAATGCAGAGAATGATTTTGTTCCAAGGGGAGGACAAGTGGAGCAGGTTGGGAGTGGACTACACCTCCACCAGCCATGAAGGGCTGTTAAAGAATCCACCTTTGCAGTTAAAATATTGGCTAGAAAATTGGCTTTTTTCTGGGTGCATGTCAATCTGACCTATGAAACAAGGTGCAGCACTTCAAGTGTGCAAATATGTCACTGAACCTCAACAAAGCCCTTAATTATACAGTGGTTAAGGAATTACTGCATTGCTAGGAGCATGAAGTGCTCAGTAATATCCCACAGCTGTCTGAAGAAACCTTTGTGCCGCTGCCAAATAGTTTGTGGGGACATTAAAACAAATAGTGATTTCTCAGCAAAAAATTAGACTGAGGTCCTTTACTTACAAAGAACAGCAGTGTTTCTGGGCTCCAGATCTGGGCAATCCTGCCCATGCCAGTAAGATAAAGGGCTCTTAAATCTTTTCTCTGTTCCAGCTTTTGAAGGGATGTAGATACCTCTTTTATCCCTACTTTATATTGGTGTATCTTGGTTGCTTATGGTGTGTCTAGTCCATTCATCTCTTCTCCCTTTCAAATACTGTTAGCATGCTTGAGTCCTTATGCTGGCAGACATCAACAGCTGGAACATAGACCCTAGGGAAGTGATAAGTTATCAGACGCAAGGGATATATCCTCATTGGATGGGATTTTAAAATTTTGTTAAAAGCATGAAACTAGTGAAGATAGAAACTTGTGGCATGCAGGCAAGTTTTTGAAATGTAGCAGTTTTTTAATGGCAAGAAACCTGGTCAATGTAAAATGAGAAGATCCCACATGTATGGAATGAAGAGATTTATTTTTGGAAACAGAGTTGAAGAGTTCTGCTAGTTAAACTAAAAGAGTAACATCAAGCAAAGTAGAAAAATGTTATCATCTAGATGTGAATTGTTTGCTATTATCTTGTTTTGTTGCTTTAGATGAGTCAGCATTTTTCAGTTTCTCACTGACATATCCATTTAGAGGACTATAAACCTCAGTTACCACCCAGACATGCTGTGCAGTTTGACTAGTGACTATGTGAAGAACATGCTGCTGTCCAAGATAGAAGATCTTAGAGATGTGCAAAGCCAAAAGCGTTTTTAACAGAGGAGAGTCTGAACATCCGAAATACTATGGCTTGGTTTTGTTCCCTTTGTAAATCTTTTCGACAAACATGCAGCTCTTCAGAGTCAGCCATTCTCTGAAATAATTCAGAACTAAATTTAGCAATTAAGTGACCAAATTTTGTGATGAAATAACCTGACAGTTGTGTCAACAGCACTGTCCATCACCAAGCATCAGTCCGGGGAAAGTCAGGTGGTGTTCCCTCAGGGTTCCTGCTGCACAGGATTTAAAAAAAAAAAGCTCTGCAGGGCAGAACTGTTGTAGCAAAGTAGCCTTTGATTATATGCCTCCATCCCATGTTGGCTCCATACAGTCTTTTTCAGGCCTGCCACTCCTTGCTGACACATTACCAGGTCACCTCCGCTTCCGTCCTTTTGCTCTCTTTTTCCCAGGCAGGCCACCCGCCCGGTCGTTTTGGACAAGTGCCATTTAGCAAAGCCTAAGGAAGGCTGCAGACCAGAACTGTTCTTCAGACCAGATAGAAATCTATTAAAACTGCTGGATTTTTTTAACTGCTTTTATGGGCCGCCAATGTTACACATATTCATATCCTTTCGTGGAACAATACATATGGCTGCATGTGAGTCAGAGTGAATTTTCTTGGCAACCAAAAACGTTCAGGAGGTGGATTTGCCAAACCCTAAATTATTCAGTGTCCTTCCGTCTCTGGGGCATTTTAATCTCTGCGGCCATGAGGCTCTTGAATGAAGTGCTTGTGTCAGTCAGCATTCTTATTAAACAGGAAGATGACCTTTCCTCCTGCCAGTTCTCAGTGCATTTCCTGCTCAATTCACTGGCACCACTCACAGAAATAATTGGTAGTGTGACCTTACCTTGCTTGCATAGGTTTCTGTTGTCTATGGCATGAGTACTGCTCAGGAAAAAAGCACCAAAATGCAGATGCTTCTTTGGAAACTCTCTGACAACTTCGCAATGTCTTTGCCTTTAGTTTATTTTCTATCAAGTTTTCACATGAGTTCCAGGGGAAACAGTAGGGTTGATCTCACCTTATAATGTGACTGATAATGTGACTCTTAGCAGCTGGGAATAAATAGCATGGTGAGTGTGTGGTTTTAGGAGGAAATGGTTCCATGTTTCCTTTCACACTGCTTTCCAACATGATGATATTTTCCTTTATTGTATTGATTGCTGATTACAGACTTCCTTTATAGGATGGCTCATCTCCTTCCTCCCTTGAATAGTGCTTAACCTTCAAGGAGCTAGTTTCTTGCAAATGGGAAGTAAACTTTTTTGGGATTTGATGAATATGGACTAGCAGTATATCATAATATGCTGAATACCTTGTAGTGTCCCAACTATGTTTGGGGCTCTCAATATGTTCTGTGGATGGAAACCAACCAGGAGATTAGTTCTACTCCCACCTGCTGGAAATAACGTTGGGGGGGCAGATAATTAAATATATTCCTGCAAACTCTTAATGGAGTTGTAATGAAAAGGAACTCAGACACATCAACACTCTTTGTGTTTTAGTGTGTCTGAAATTGAAATTTGAGTCTGAATGTTATAAGGGAAGGATATCTCTAAGGAGAAAAACAATGAATGATTCCTTTTCTTCTGCAGAGGCTGAGAAGCTCTGGCTGCAGGTTAGTGCCTTTGTGCACGACTGTCAGTGTAGAGGTGAATGTGTTTCAAGGTGCTGATTCACATGCTATGTGATATTGCATTACAGTTTTGTTACTGACAATGGCTTGGGTAAGTGATTCCAGAGAAACCAAAATCTCCTATGCTCAATGGATCATCTACTTAAAACTTTATTTACTTAGTTAATTTATCCTTACACTCATTTTCAGGCCTTGTGTTTGTGGTGAGGGTAGCACGTTCCTAGAGAACTAACGGAACGTTATGGGCTGCTGAAAAAAAAGTTGCATTCAGAAGCCACTTTAGTGTGATCAAGTAATTTTTCCTATCATATCAGGCTTTGAGAAGGAATGCCTACCTATCCAACCAACCAATCATATTCCTGAAACGAGTGAGTAATTGAAATTCTTTAATGTCTAATGAATTGTGAAGTATTTTTCAGTTCTTTTTTTTTTTTTTGCTAAGGCAGAAATTGCCTTCGGACATGGGTATGTGAAGAGCAGACTCACTGCATTCAATTATTTTAAATTTCTGGTGCTTCACTTTATTGCAGAGTACCAGTATTGGAGAAGGTCGGTAAGCAGAAAGGTACAGGTAGTGCAGCTGAATGAGGAACCCATTTAATAAAGCTGCTGCAGCTTCAAATGTAAATGGATTCAGTCACTTCAAATCTGATTTATACAAAGTTAGCTTATATCTACAAGTGACAATTTAGCTTATAGTTAGACAAAACGTGGGACATGGCTCCTATTGATAAGCACAGAATGGACATTAAAAATTACCTTTTGTGCTTCTTGACTGAATCTACTTCTTGGTTACTTGGTGTGTGATAATTGGAAAAGCAGGGCAAGTACATACTCCCTAAGTGATGTTGGGGGAAGGACCTTGTATACAAAAAGCTACAAGACAGGTATTCTGGTTCCTTTCCCAATTCATTAAGCAATGCTGTGCTTTTTGTTGTGTCTGTTTTCTTGCTCTCTCATGTGTCAGTGTGGGGTTTTCCCATTCTTCAGGCTAAGACAAGAATGAAGGAATGCCAAGGAACTTATAAAACTATTGCTTTTGATCAACTGAGAAATTCACTGGTATGTAGTTTTAAATGGTGCACCTACTTGAGTTGCCTGGATAATAAGAGGTCTAGTCCACTACAAAATCTGTTAAGACACTTATATATTTCACGTGCTTTTAGCAATGTCATCACAGATAGATATTTCATCTATCCAATTTGGCATCCTGCCTTTTGACCTGGCTGGTAACTGAGAGTTAGGTGATCAGCATGGTTTCCAGTCTCTTCTGTCACCGTGAAAACACACATAAGCTGCTTTACTGTAGAAAACAGTAAACAGTTTTGTGCCTTAGAGGGACCCTTGATTCATGAGATGCAAAGCTAAGTTTTAGTACCAGCTCTGCCACTGACTCACACATTGGCTGTATGAACCTTTATTACTGTTGGATTATTTAAAATGTCCAGCCCACTTATTTAAAGCTTGTCTGTTCTTATGATTCTTGTGATGTTTTGTAGAGTTATTATTTATTTCTTTTCAGTGCCAATCAAATATTTTCATATATATTCAAATTAATTCCCTGAAACAACATCTTAAAGCATGTTCTTTAAATGGAGGTACCTGCAAATTCTGTTGATAGTCAGAATACTTAGCTGTCTGTCAGGCTAAACAAGTGTCAGTCTGTTGGGTTGAAGATCCCTTCCCCAGCTGAACTCTGCTCATGTGCCTTGTCATCTGCAGCTTCACCTCAATGAGAGGAGGATGAAGGCCTAGCATGCAGCTGAAGTCTGGGAGGAGGTTTCCTTCCTTCCTTCCTTCCTTTGCACGTGGCTGATGAATCTACTAACACTGTATGTTATGCAGACAAAAAGCTAAAAAATACAGAGACAAGACCAGAGGACTCAAGGAAACAAGAAGTAGTAAGCAACATGAGTCTCTAGGGAGCTGGTCACCCAAGGAGTGGAGAGTATACTACTGTTCAAAGAGATTTGAAGAATTATTTAGGGCACAAAGATGACCAAAATGTACCTCTCCATTGGCATTTACATGACAGAAGCTATTTATGAAAGAAATGTCACTTAGGAGAACCCCTGGAGCAGACTGTACAGATTGTGTCCACTGGTTGTAAGTATGTTTGGGCTGAAAATTGAAGTTCTCTGATGATCACAGCTATTGGTCTGGAGCATATTCACAAATTATGAAATGAGGCAAAAAGCATGTCACTGTTTCACAGAGAAAAACTGTCATTTTAAGAAACAGGATGTTATGAAGTGGCTTCCTTCAAAATGTGAGGCTCAGCATGTCCTGTTAATCTGATATTCTTAATATTTGTTCTCTAGCAAATTAAAGCATTACTGTTCTAAGGATCCTTATACTGGGGTTCTTGTATGTTTGCTTTTGAGCATCTGTGTTTGGATAATTTAATCTTTGTTTTCATCTCTGTCACTGGACTTCTTCAAGGAAACCAAAATATTTTGTAGTAAGAAAAACAGTGCTATTAGGCACAGGCTGAAACATAATGGAAATACCTCATGCAACATAATCTCTTTTTAATTGGTTGCATCATTCAACTATTGCTAGTTAGAGAAGACACTGGAAACAAAATATGTGGCCTCAGAAACACCGAAATGTGTTCTAAAAAATAAATATAGAAAATTAATAAATCAGAGTAAACTTAATTGTACAGAAAATCTCAGCAATCAATCGTCATGCAACTGAGATAATTTCAAGTGTATTACAGGTACACAGGAGCCTGAAATAGCATTTTTTGCTTTGGATGACACAAGGTGAATGTTGGTTGGTGTTCACTACCATTGCTTCATCTGCCTCAGCAAAGCGAGGCCAACATGGCCCACATGGCAGCATGGTGTGCTCATTACCCTGGGCCCTGCCAGTGCCACGGGCAAGGCAGGTTTGTCTCAGACTGAGTTGGACTCTCTCAGTGAGTCAAGGGTTGTACACATTACACCTCCATAGACCTCCTCAACACACCAGCTACCTGCATGTGGCTGGTGATGTGTGTGTGCTGAAAGCACTCAGCAATCTCCATTTTATATTACAGGAAGTTTGGTGTGCATTTTCCAGGTAGATCTAGTTCAGTTGTGATGCTGAGCTAGGCACCTGTCTTGTAAGAGTAGAGTTTCTGGGAAAACTTCACATCCAAAGAAATTTTTTTATGAATTCACAATACAGCTTAAGCTGGGTCACCATAGGCACAGAAGTATGAAGGGGCTTCTGCTTACCTAAAGCAGTCAAATAAATTATATTTGTTTGACCAATATAAAGAAATACAATAAGGAAACCTTTTTCTTGTACCTCTGATCCCTTTGTAAGAAGGGAATGGAGGTGCCAGGGAGCAGCAGGGCAGTTGCTCCCACGGGGAGAGGAGCTGGCAGTGGGGTCTCCTCCCAGGGCAGGCAGGGCTGTGCCCACACCGGCTGGATTGCAGTGGGTGAGCGGGGCAGGCGCAGGGATGGGAAGGAGCCTCAGGCAAGTGCCGGCTGCCAGGTGAGCCTGTGGGGGCACGTCGGAGATCAGACCAGGAGGGCAGCGGGGCAGGGAGGGACGAGACCAGGGACGTCCCTACCCTCAACACAGCTTGGGCGAGGATCGAGGCTGAGCATCTTGGCTTCAGCACCGCTCCTCAGCAAAAGCAGGACAGGCCCCAGTTTCCCAACCTGAATCCAGATTACAGCCAAGCACTATTAGCCCAGACCTGGAGCACAGACATATGAACCCCAGGGCAGGGGAGGTGCAGGCAGGTAGAACTTGCACAGCCCCATGTTGGTCTGGCATCTGGGAGTGGGTGGTGAAGGTGGCTGGCACGGACTTGTCTCTGTTCAGACATGTGCCCAGTTGTTTATGCAAAGAAATCTGAAGCACCTGTTTATTTTCAGACATCGTTCATGTCAGTAAGGCTA